AGCATCAGAATGGACTCTTAGTCCACACACTAGTCCTGTTTGTTGCTTCTAACCTAACGAGCTGATAGACTGTACAATACACCAATGGTTGATGTAAGCCAATATAGTGCACCCTTCCAAACCTATTGTTTATTTTATTATTTCCATTCTTATTGTGTTTTAGATGTGGTCTATACTTTAGTGGCTTGTTTGAGATCCACCCCAGCTTGCGAAGATCTCGTCATTTTGAATTGTCTCAGTGTGCCGCAGCCCGTGAAAAACGATCCTGTGTCCAGATCGGAGCAGGTGTATACTTTTTTATGCTATCGACAATCAACCATTCTGAAGACTCATCTTGTTCGGTAGAAGGATGCCAACACACTTTCGTGGGCACAATACACACAATTTCGGATCCAAGATGGGTAGAACTGGTTACTCACACAGGCAGTGTATCGCTTCTCTCCAACCGTAATCTCCATATTGCTTTCCACAGAGGTTGAAACTAGGCCTTGCAGTCTGAACTTCCTATGTCCAGTTTACATAATAGAGTGTTCTCACATCTCATCAGGTCGCAAATCCTGTCAACGCTCAAATTTCTTGCCTATTTTATATTACTGTTGGAGATTACGTATGTTGAATCAAGAGGGTCATCGTCTCTCATTTGCGGCTAGTGACTGAGGTTGTGTATGAGAACCATTCCTACGCTGGTTTTGAATTCAATATGCTACTCCGCCTGACGGCCTGATTGAGATGTCGAGCGCAGACGAAGCTAGTGATTCACAGGGCGTTCCATAGCTCGACCTTTGCCCGGGCATCCCAACTTGTTTTTATGATATCATTGATGTCACAGGTTCAGTTTGCATACGTTTCTGCTGAAAGAAAATTCTTTGTGACTAATGCCCTGAAATATTGTATTCCTGTCTTCTTAGAAAGTTTCTGTTCAAGTCCTTTGCCCACTTTTTAATGGGTTATTTGATTTTTTCTTCCTAAATTTCGATGAGTTTCTAAGTATAATTCTAGTTATCAGTCCCTTGATCGGATGCATAGGATGCAAAAATTTCTCCATTCTGTAGGTTGTTTGTTTACTTTCATGACTTATTTCTTTGGCTGTGCAGAAGCTTTGTGATTTGATCATGTCCATTTCTTTATTTTTATTGCTGCTGTGATTGCCTTGGGGACTTCTCATAAACTCTTTGCCCAGGCCAATGTCTAGGAGAGTGTTTCCAACTTTTTCCTCTAGAGTTCTAATAGTTCATATCTTAGGTTAAGTCTGTTATCCAGCGTGAATTGGTTTTGTGAGAGGTGAAAGGTGTGGGTTCCTGTTTTAGCCTTCTACAGGTGGCTATCCAGTTTCCAGGACCATTTAATTGAAGAGGGATTCTTTTCCTTATCGTATATTTTTGTCTGCTTTGTCAAAGATTAGATGGCTATATGAGGGATGGTTTTTTTATCAGGATTCTCACATCTGTTCCACTGGTCATATATTCCTCTTTTTGTGCCAATACCATATTGTTTTAATTACTACAGCTTTGTAGTATAGTTTGATATCTGGCATATTAATGCCTCCCATTTTGTTTTGTTGCCTAAATTGCTCTTGATATTCGGGGTCTTCTTGGTTCCATGGAAACATAAAATTATTTTTTCTATATCTGTGAAGAATGCTGATGGGATTTTAATAGGTATTGCATTGAATCTGTAGATCAGTTTGGGTAGTATAGACATTTTGATGATATTGAGTCTGCCGATCAACGAGCATGGTATGGATTTCCATCTGTTTACATCCTCTGCTATTTCCTTCCTCATGTTTCATAGTTTCTCCTGTAGAGGTCTTTTACGTCTTTGGTTAAGTAAATTCCTAGGTACTTTAATTTCTTTGTTGCATTGTGAGGGAATTGAGTCTTTGATTTGGTTCTCAATTAGATGTTGTTGCGGTATATGAATGCCTCTGATTTCTGTGTATTGATTTTGTATCCTGAGACTTTACTAAATTCATTGGATCAGTTCCAGGAGTTTCTTGGTTGAATCTTGGGGTCTTCTAAATAAATATCATATCATCAGCAAACAGTGAAAGTTTGATTCTTCTGCCCCTATTTGGATACTTTTGATTCCATTTTCCTGTCCATTGCTGTACCAAGACTTCAAGTACTATGTTGGAACAGAAGTGGAGATAGTGGTCAGCCTTGTTTGGTTCCAGTTCTAAGTGGGAATGATTTCAATTTTTCCCTTCAGTATGATGTTGGCTATGGGTTGTCATATATGGCTGTTGTATCATTTTAGGTATGTCCTTCTATGCCTATTTTCTTAAGTGTTCGTATCATGAAAGGTGTTGAACTTGTCAAAAGCTTTTCTGCATCTATGAAAGAATCATGTGGTCTTTGTTTTTGCTTCTGTTTATGTGGTGATTGCATTTATAGATTATGTTGTTGAACATCCCTGCATCCCTGGGATGAAGCCACTTGGTCGTGGTGATTATTTTTTTGATAAGTGTCTGGATTCGGTTAGCTAAGATTTTTGTTGAAATTTTGCATCTATATTCATTAGGATTTTGGTCTGTATTTTCTTTTTTTGTTGCACCTTTCCTGGTTTGGTATCAGAGTAATATTCGCTTCATAAAAGGTGGTCGGTGAGGTTTCCGTTCTTCTCGATGTTGTGGAATATTTTCTGCAGACAGGTACAAGTTCTTTCTTTGTAAGTATGGAAAATTCAGGTGTGAGGCCATCTGGACGGGACTTTCTTTTTAGGGAGATTTTTAATTGCTGTTTGTATTCAGCTGTTGAGATTGGTCTGTTCAGGGAATCTTATTTCTTCTGGGTGAGCCTAGGGAGGCTGTGTGTTTCTAGAAATTTGTCCATTTCCTCACATTTTCCAGTTTGTGTGCATAAAAGATTTTTGTAGTTTCATAAATTGTATCTTGTATCTCTTTGGGATCAGCTGTGATATTCCTTTTTATGTCTGATGAGCTTAGTAGAGATTTCTTTTCTGCTTTTCGTTAGCTTAGCCAATGGTGTGTCATTTTGTTTATTTTTCAAAGACCCAACTTTTTGTTTTATTAATCTCCTGAATAGCTTTCCTGTTTTCAATTTCATTTAGTTTCTGATTTGATCTTGTTGATTTCACTTCTTCTTGCTGGTTTTGGGTTGGTCTGTTCTTCTTTTTCTCAGCTCTTTGAGTCGTTTCATTAGAATGTCTATTCTGATTTTGTGATTTTTAAATAGGCATTTATGGAGATAAACTTTCCTCTCAGAACTGCTTTATTGTTCCCAGAGGAGTTGATAACTTGTCTCTCCATTGTCGTTTTCTTCATAGATTTTTTTTTCCGTCTTGATTTCTTCATTGACGAAGTAATATTTAGTGGAGTGTTTAATTACATTTTTGTGTAGAATGTGTGTTTCTGTTAGGTTGATTCTAGTTTTATCACTGTGATCTGAGAAGGTACAATGGTATGATTTCTATTTTTTAATTTCATGAGATTTTCTTTTGTCCTAAGATATGGTCAATCTATAGAATGTCCCGTGAGTTGATGAGAGAACGTATATTCAGTGGATTTTGGTAGAATGTTCTGTAGATGTCTGTCCAACCCATTGTTCTAAGAGTTTTGTTTAAGTCCATTATTTCTTTATTAATTTTTCTGTTTGGAGGATCTGTCTCGTGCCGTCAGTGGGTGTTGAAATCTCCGGCGATTATGGAGTTGCTATTAATCCATTTCTTTTAGATCCAGTAAGGTTTGCTTTATGATCTGGGTGCCACCTAAGTTGGGTGCATATATATTAAATTGTTATCTCTTCTTGTGACTGTGCCTTTCCACCATTATATAATACCCTCTTTGTCTTTCACTACTTTTGTTGGTTTAAAACTAAATCGTCTGAAATTAGAACTGCCACACCAGCCTTCTTTTGCTTTATTTGCTTGGAATATTCATCTCCATCCCTTTTATCTTTTAGTCTATATGCATCCTTGCAGGTTAGATGTGTTTCTTGAAGACAGCTATACTTGGCTGTATTCCTTATCCATTCAGCCAGCTATGTCTCTTGAGTGGAGAGTTTAAGCCATTCCATTTATTGGAGAGAACTGATAGGTAAGGTAAGATTACTGATCATTCTGTTGGGTTGGATGTTGTTGTTATGATTTCCTTTCTTGAGCCATTGTATATCTGGCCTTTAATATCTTTGGGTTTGGTTGTTTTTATATTCGTGGGTTATTATTATGATGTTCTCGCAATAACCTGTTTTAAGTACTTCTTGTAGGGCTGGTCTTGTCTCTGTGAATTCTCTGAGCTTTGCTTTCTGAGAATGTTTTTATTTCTCCTTATATACGAAGCTAGTTTTGCAGGGAATAATATTCTAGGCTGGGCATGTTTTTGTTTCAAAAGTGTAGAATGGGCCCAGTCTCTCCTTGTTGTAAAGTCTCATTAGAGAAGTCTGATGTTATTCGTATTGGCTTTCCCTTGTATTGTACTTGCTTCTTTTGTGTTACAGCTCTTAGAAGGCCTCTTTAGTTGATACTTTGGTCAGTCTGATGACTGCATGTCGTGACGTCTTCCTGTTTGCATTGAATTCCCAGGGGTCCTCTGAGCTTCTTGAATTTGTATATCAAATTTTGAGCAAGGCCTGGGATTTTCCTCTATTATATCTTCAAACAGCTTGTCCAACCCTTGAGTGTTCTCTTCTTTCCCTTCTGGTAAGCCTATGACACTCACATTAGGTTTTTCTTCACATAATCCCACAGCTCTTGTAGCTTTGCTCTTTCTCTTGTTTCTCGCTCTATTTCTGTGACTGATTATTTAATTGGAGGGTGTTATCTTCAATCTCTGAGATTCTTTCTTCTGTTTGATCTACCCTGTTCTTGAGACTGTATTTTGTAGTTCCTAGAATTGATTCTTCATTTCCAGGAGTTCGGTTTACACTTTTCTTCATTGTGTCTATTTCTTTTCCATATCCTGGAGACTTTTTGTGGTTTCTTTGTGTTGGTTATTGAGTTGTTGTTGCAGCTCGGTTTATGTTCTTATGATCCACATACGAAATTCCTCTTCTGTCATATTGGTTGCCTGATTTTGGTTGGTGTTCGTTTCTAGGGTCTGGTGCTCTCTTTGGGGGTTTTTCCGTTTGGTTCTTCAT